CTCCTGGAGTTCATTGGTATCCTCTTCATAATAAACATTGGTAATACACATTACCAGTGTGTTTATACAGGCTGCTGCAATGCGGCCTGTAGTCTACTGAACTAAACCACCAGTGTAAGCATGGTGCTCACTGGGCGGCATGGAATCTACATGCATGGTTAGGTCAAGTTGGTCAGGAAACAGGACAAGTGTTTCCTGACAAGTGTTTCCTCGCAGCTGGAGCTTTTGGTCATCTGGCCGAGACCTTCCACTGGCTTACCAAGGTCCATATTGTTTCTTGCACTGCTGTCTTAATAACTAGATTCTAATTCTTTGTTATGACCTTAACAAGCAGGGATGGAACCATGCTCAAAATGTTGAAGACGGGATGGTAGTGGTTGTGGTGGTGTCTCGAAGGCTGTGGTGGCGATGACGAAAAAGGTGGTGATAGTGATGAGAATAGTGTTATCCGTGCTAGAGGGGCCTCCAGGGAGACGGAACATTCTGCGGGACCCACCACGCTAAACCAGACTGCAAGTAGCTTTGTTAACCCACTTGTCTGCCTATGTAATGGAGTGGATGGTGGTGGCAGCGTAGACGGTGGCTGCAGTGTGGACGGTGGTGGCAGCGTGGACGGTGGTGGCAGCGTGGACAGTGGTAGCAGCGTGGGCGGTGGCTGAAGCTTGGGCGGTGGTGGCAGCGTGGACGGTGGTGGCAGCGTGGGCGATGGCTGAAGCTTGGACGGAGGTGGCAGCGTGGACGGTGGTGGCAGCGTGGATGGTGGCTGCAGCGTGGACGGTGGTGGCAGCTTGGATGGTGGCTGCAGCTTGGACGGTGGTAGCAGCGTGGACGGTGGTAGCAGCGTGGACGGTGGTAGCAGCGTGGACGGTGGTGGCAGCGTGGACGGTGGTAGCAGCGTGGACGGTGGTAGCAGCGTGGACAGTGGTAGCAGCGTGGACGGTGGTAGCAGCGTGGACGGTGGTAGCAGCGTGGACGGTGGTAGCAGCGTGGACGGTGGTAGCAGCGTGGACGGTGGTAGCAGCGTGGACGGTGGTAGCAGCGTAGACGGTGGTGGCAGCGTGGACGGTGGTGGCAGCGTGGATAGTGGCTGCAGCTTGGACGGTGGTGGCAGCTTGGACGGTGGTGGCAGCTTGGACGGTGGTGGCAGCGTGGATGGTGGCTGCAGCTTGGACGGTGGTGGCAGCTTGGACGGTGGTGGCAGCGTGGACGGTGGTGGCAGCATGGACGGTGGTGGCAGCGTGGACGGTGGTGGCAGCGTGGACGGTGGTGGCAGCGTGGATGGTGGCTGCAGCTTGGACGGTGGTGGCAGCTTGGACGGTGGTGGCAGCGTGGATGGTGGCTGCCGCTTGGACGGTGGTGGCAGCTTGGACGGTGGTAGCAGGGTGGATGGTGGTGGCAGCGTGGACGGTGGTGGCAGCGTGGATGGTGGTGGCAGCTTGGACGGTGGTGGCAGCGTGGACGGTGGTGGCAGCGTGGACGGTGGTGGCAGCGTGGACGGTGGTAGCAGCGTGGATGGTGGCTGCAGCGTGGACGGTGGTGGCAGCGTGGACGGTGGTGGCAGCTTGGACGGTGGTAGCAGCGTGGACGGTGGTGGCAGCATGGACGGTGGTGGCAGCGTGGACGGTGGTGGCAGCGTGGTCGGTGGTGGCAGCGTGGATGGTGGCTGCAGCTTGGACGGTGGTGGCAGCTTGGACGGTGGTGGCAGCGTGGATGGTGGCTGCCGCTTGGACGGTGGTGGCAGCTTGGACGGTGGTGGCAGCGTGGACGGTGGTGGCAGCGTGGACGGTGGTAGCAGCGTGGATGGTGGCTGCAGCGTGGACGGTGGTGGCAGCGTGGACGGTGGTGGCAGCGTGGACGGTGGTAGCAGCGTGGATGGTGGCTGCAGCGTGGACGGTGGTGGCAGCGTGGACGGTGGTGGCAGCGTGGATGGTGGCTGCAGCGTGGACGGTGGTGGCAGCTTGGACCCGGGGGGTGGCAGGTGGACGGTGGGGGCGTTGGGACGGTGGTGCGCGTGGACGGTGGTGGCACTTGGAGGTGGTGGCAGGTGGACGGTGGGGGCGCGTGGACGGGGGTTTGCAGCGTGGTGGTGGCGCAGCGTGGCGGGGTGGCGCGTGGAGGGTGGTGGCGCGTGGAGGGTTGGTAGCGCGTGGATGGTGGCTGCAGCTGGGGTGGGCAGTTTGGGATGGTGTCTGCAGCGTGGTTATCCGAGGGTCGAGGGGTAAAGAAGGGCGCTAGACTAAGACAGTGGTGACGGTGGTGGCAGCGTGGACGGTGGTGGCAGTGTGGATGGTGGCTGCAGCTTGGACGGTGGTGGCAGCTTGGACGGTGGTAGCAGCGTGTGGACGGTGGTAGCAGCGTGGATGATGGTGGCAGCGTGGACGGTGGTGGCAGCGTGGACGGTGGCTGCAGTGTGGTTATCAGGAGGTCGACGGGTACAAGAATGGTGCTAGACTACAACAGTGGTGGCGGTGGACGGGACAATGGTGGTGGTGGTGGTGGTTACAAGGTAGAGGTCGAGGGGTACAGTAATGAAGGTTCATCAAACTATCCTCACTTCTTTACCACAAACTATATTTCAAGATTTTTTTTTTACTTGATGCTCAAAGTTAATATCATTGGCTTCTTTTCAAATAATTTATTTTTTTTAAGTTAGGTTTAAAAAACCCCATAAACATTACTATTTAAAAAAATAAAGGAAAAAAAAGTAACTACCATGACGTCTGGAAAGAGGTTGCCTAGCAAGACCCATTAGGATGGATAAAACCTCAGCTCTAAACAAAGAAAGTCTCCAACCTGCAGGCAATCATAACAAAAAGCCAAAAGGGATCCCGATCAGCCTCCCAGCACTTTTTTTATAAGTAAGACTATTCAAAGTGAAACGTTTGTGACAGGTGGTGGGAGATACGCTGATTTTTTCACACATTTCAATTAGGTGTGTCAGTCGCCACCCCTAATGAAGTATACGTAATACTCTTTGTCTCTACTTACACAAGAATACGCACGCACGCAACTATAATCACTGCTACTAGTTAGCGCTTCACGCGGGCAACACACACCAAAAAATCAAGGTACTGATCGAAAATGATGCGCCATTCACAAACAAGAAAAACAGCATCCGAACACGTACACATTGCTGTACTAGCAAATGTGAACAGTCCATGTGGCAATAGTGGTGGTGAAGGTGTTGCAGTAAGTGTTGGTGTGGTGGCGGTGGTGGTAGTAGTTGTCGTGGTGAGGTGGTTGCAGTGTGTTGGTGGTGAGAGTGTTGCAGTGTTGGTGGTGCGGGTGTTACAGTGTGTGTTGGTGTTGCAGTATGTTAGCGGTGAGAGTGTTACGGTGTGTGTGTTTGTGGTAGTGGTTGGAAGGGTATGCATTGTGTGTGTTGGTGGTAGTGGCAGTGAGGGTGTTGCAGTGTGTTGGTGGTAGTGGCAGTGAGAATGTTGCAGTGTGTTGGTGGTAGTGGCAGTGAGAATGTTGCAGTGTTTGTGTGTTGGTGGTAGTTGTGGTGAGGGTGTTGCAGTGTGTGTTGGTGGTAGCGGTGGTGAAGGTGTTACACTGTGTTGGTGGTTGCCGTGGTGAGGGTGTTACAGTATGTATTGGCGTAAATGATGGTAAGGGTGTTACAATGTTGGTTGTAGTGGCGGTGAGGGTTTTGCAGTGTGTATTGGTGGTAGTGGTGGTGAGGGTGTTACAGTGTATGTTGGTTTAAAAGGTGAGGGTGTTACAATGTGTTGGTGGTAGTGGTGGTGAGGGTTTTGCAGTGTGTTGGTGGCAGTGTTGGTGAGGATGTTACAGTGTTGATGGTAACGGTGGTGAGCGTGTTGCAGTGTTTGTTGGTGGTAGTGGTGGTGAGTGTTACAGTGTGTGCTGGTGGTAGTGGTGGTGAGGATGTTGCAGTGTGTGTTGGTGGCAATTGTGAGTGTGTTGCAGTGTGTTGGTGACAGTTGTGAGGGTGTTGCAGTGTGTGTTGGTGGTAGTGGTGGTGAAGGTGTTGTAGTGTTTGTTGGTGGTAGTGGTGGTGAGGGTGTTGTAGTGTTTGTTGGTGGTAGTGGTGGTGAGGGTGTTGTAGTGTTTGTTGGTGGTAGTGTGGTGGGGTATATTGCCAAGAGTGGATACAGTGTGAAAATGAAGGGCTGGCAGTGAGTGAGGACATTGATGGTGAAGGGTGAGTACGAGAAAGATGGAGAGGTGGCGAGAGCAGGTGTGGCAAAGATGGAGAGGTGGCGAAAGCAGGTGTGGCAAAGATGGAGAGGTGGCGAGAGCCGGTGTGGCAAAGATGGAGAGGTGGCGAGAGCAGGTGTGGCAAAGACTGGGAAGCAACCAGGTTCTGGGTGGTGGTGGTGAGAGTAGAGGCAGGAGTGTGGGATGAGACTGGAGGGAAGTGTGAATGAGTACTGGAGGGAAGTGTGAATGAGCACTGGAGGGAAGTGTGAATGAGTACTGGAGGGAAGTGTGAATTAGCACTGGAGGAAGCGTAAATGAGCACTGGAGGAAGCGTGAATGTATACTGGAGGAAGTGTGAATGAGTACTGGAGGGAAGTGTGAATGAGCACTGGAGGGAAGTGTAAATGAGCACTGGAGGGAAGTGTAAATGAGTACTGGAGGAAGCGTAAATGAGCACTGGAGGAAGCGTGAATGAGCACTGGAGGAAGCGTGAATGAGTACTGGAGGAAGCGTGAATGAGTACTGGAGGAAGCGTGAATGAGTACTGGAGGAAGTGTGAATGTATACTGGAGGAAGTGTGAATGAATAATGGAGGGAGGTGTGAATGAGGGACTCTCGGAAGTGTGAAGGAGGACTGTGGGAAGACTGCTGCTGGAGGTGGTAAGGACGATAGTACTAAGAGGTGCTAGTAAGGGGGTGCCTGTAGGGGGAGGTGCTAGTAGATGGTGGTGTTAGTAGTAGTAGTCGTGGTGGTGGGGGTAAGGAAGGTGGTGGTGTACTTAAGAGGTACTAGTTATGGACAAGTGGGAGGAAAAAACATCCCAAAAGCACGTTACCTCAGGCTAGGGTCAGCCAGAACTTGCAGCACCTGCAGTTAAAGCAGCAGCAGCAGGTGTATGTAGTAATGGGGGAGGTAGTGGTGCGGGTGCTAGGGTGGTGCAGCAGCAGCAGCAGACAGCCACTCTCTCTTGAGCGTACTTCCGCAAGTGTGGGCCGCTGTCTGCTCCGGTGTAACACACTACACACCGAGTATACACATATCCACTACCAGCTGCCCTGGAACTAACACGAGGGCCCACCTTCACCAGCAGGCAAGTAACTCCCAAAGTAAAGAGGGCGGTAACGAAGGATACCCACGGAACACACCACACGCGCGCGCGCACACACATACACACGCACGCCCGCCCGCCTCACTCTCTACACCTCAACTGGCGACTTCAACGCTGCCGCCGCCACTCCGCTGAGGTTCTGACGCTAAACCCTCCACACCCTGCTGCCGACCACCACCCACACACACCACCCACGCTCACGCCACACCATCCACCACGTACATACATACACGAACGTCTTATGAACATAGGACGTTCGTATATATATGTACTACAAGATGTAGTACCATCTCTGACCCCCACCATCCACACCGTCAATAACCCACTTGAGGGAACAGGTTCTAACAGTGGGCCAAGACGACGCGGAACAAGGAAGATATCCTGCACTAGCACACCCACACACTCAAGCATACAAACCCATATATACAAAAAAAAAGACAACCACATACGCGTTCACATATACAGGCTTGCTAAGACTCCACCACTGCAACCACATATAGGCGAGTACGTATGTACGTGTACATACACACACACACAAACTAGTACAAGCTTACCAACCTACATACTTTCACCATCTAGCTGCTACACATTCTTCACACATACCTCCAGGAGAGCCACTTCAGAAAAGCAATGAGAGCTAGATAAAGTGAGAAACGAACTGGTAGAAAAAGGGGTAAGAAAATCGTGAATTAAGATCGTACATTCTGGACTGAACACTGTGTAGAGGGGGCTCAATGAACTCGAATGAGCACCAAAATGGCGACAAGTTTAAAGTGATGCAGGTGGATCCATCCTCCGACGTCTCAGAAGGCAGAATAGAAAATCTTGACAGCCAATGGCATTGGATACAAGTATGATAAAATACACACATGTTCAACACTTGGGTATCTTTATTGTGGAAACGTGTCGCCACAGTGACTTCAGTCTGATACGAAGAAGAATGGTGAAGATCAGGAGTTTCAAGTAATCAGAACCTCAACCTCAGGCTGAGGGACTGATTACACAAGTGGTACACGTGTGTAATTCATCAGCTTATCGGCTCTCTTAACCGTTTATTTACATTCTTGGAAGTGTGATGTGGACAGTTGCAAAAAAAAAAAAAAAGACAAAATTCACAAATGACCCACACGTAGGCAACACTTTTGACGACGTTTCGGTCAAACTTGAGCCATTAACTAGTCACACGTAAGTCATAAGTTTGTCTCTCCTACGTATGGGTTATTTGTGTATCGTTCCAGTCACGGCATTGTGCCTTTTTATTCTCTGAAGAAACAATTCTTGGACGTATGATAATTCCTTTTCCCCATCTTGCTCTTACCTTAGCCATGTCATCCTGAGAGAAGGTAATGCCCACGTAATAGTAACTCCAGCTATGCTTCAACGCAAACTTTAAAGCTGCCTTTGTTACTGAACCTACGTTGCATTACTGAAATTTCATTCACATGTGATGGAATATAACAGGGGAAAATATAGCTAGTAACTCACAGAATAGTGTATAGGCATACTGTAAGTGCTCCTACCCTGTAACTCAAAGCATAGTGCATTTGCACACTGCGAGTGTTCTTACGGTGCCCCGTGGCCTGGTCGCTAAGCCTTTCACTTCACACGGCGAGGGTGTGCGTTCGATTCCCAGCGCGGGTAGAAACATTGGGCGTGTTTCTTTACACCGGTTGTCTGTTTACCCATCAGTATAAAATGGGTACCTGGGTGTTTGTCGACTGGCGTGGGTCGCATCCTGGGACAAAACTGACCTAATTTGCCAGAAATGCTCAGCATAAAAAGCGGCTTTCTATATAGTAGTATGTCACTGATAGCAGCTAGGCCTGTATACCTTGTACATGTACTTATAGAAATAGATATTATATTATTATTATTAGAAATACACTGCGGGATTCTTATCGCGTAACTCCCACATAAAAAAAGAGTACACACACACACTGCGGGTCTTCTTACAATGTAACTATCATACAGAACAGTGTAGAAGTACACTGCGGGTGTTCCAATAATGTAACTCACAGCAGGATCGCCGAACACTGCAGTTGTATCCAATTATTAAACTGCTTACACCTCTAGGTGAATATGTTGCGAGATTCGATGAATATCGGATCAACAAGAGAACGACATAACGACACAAAGTGTGACTACATAAACGAAAGCACGAGACAGCCCCACACATGCCAACCTTGGTCCAGTGCCGGCCTGACAGGGTTCAATGACCCGTGGCCAGCTACACTGTCATCAGACCCACTACAAACTAACAAATCTTACTAATAAGATTTGGGGCTATACGCGCATAGCATTTCCTCTAACTATGGTCCAATAAGAAGGTACAAGGTTCAGTGAACTCGGAAAGTGAGTGAGGCGGGAGGTTGTTACTGCTGGAAGCCTCTCTTCCATGGCCAAGTTTCCTGACCCACTCTTCTCCCTCCCTCCCTCACCAACCAACCCACTCTACACCTCTCTAACCCTTCACCCACCCACCCTCCACCGCTACACTTGCCTAACACCCTCACCCGCCCTCTCCACCATTACCACTACTGTATATCCTCCTCGCCACCTCTGGAAGATGATAGTGTATTAACAGTATGCGGCTATACTATTCTTTCTTTGTAAGTTACATTATAAGAACACCCGCAGTGTGTGGCTACAATTTACATTGTAGGTACACGAGGAGTGTGGCTCGCTGTTCTAACTGAAAGTTACTTGTTAGTAGCACTGGCAGTGTCTTACTACACAATTTTATTGACTAATTACATTACGGAAACAAAAATTAACGTTGTTTCCTTGCCACATTTCACACAGAATAAGTTTTTTACTGAAGTCTCATTGCTTATGTTGACAGATTGCATTACCCTGCGGATGCAACCCATTCCAGTTAACTCTAAGGACCGTGGGACAAGGTATACGAAAGAAAAAAATATATAAAAATCCTTTATATCTGAAAGGTAGTAATGAGTGGTTGTGGTTGAGACGTGACTGGGTTTCTAGGGCTTATCTTCCCTCATAGCCCAGCATGAAGTTAATAAGTTTAGACACAGGTGCACATAAGTATAATTTTCATACATAAGTTACCTAGGATAACCCCCCCCCAAAAAAAAAAAGCCAGTCAAAGTGACTCCTTGTTGGCTGCCACGCTGTTGCTGCTACCGACCAGCAGGCCCACACAGCAATCACGGCGTTGCTGATGTGACAGGTTTTATTTTTCAGGTAGCAGCTCAGCTGCCTCTTGAAAAGCATCTACTTCTGTTGTTAATAATTACGCAACATTAGAAGAGAGCAGAGTGAGACGCCTGGTGTGCGAGGTGGTAGGTGAGGCTGCCAGTTTGACGGTGGCTCTGATACAACGTTCACTCTTACCCACACAATGACTTGTCTACACTTCAAAGCCCCGTAGTCGTCCTCAACATCACTCCGTTCTTATATTCCATTCGCCTATATATATATATTATATATATATATATATATATATATATATATATATATATATATATATATATATATAGGCATATATATTTATATATATATATATATATATATATATATATATATATATATAATACTAATAATATATACTACAAATATATAATACTGATATATAATAATAATAATAATAATAATAATAATAATGCCACCAACTCCCTCCCCCCCCCCAAGGCGCGTCAATCCCCTCCCTCCATCACCACCATCATCTGGTGTCTCCACCGTCGCTGCCGCCACGGTCACGACTTGACTATCTTAAAAAAAAAAAAAAAAAAAAAAAAAAAAAAAAAAAAAACCCACTTGTGATTATATGCTGTGGAAACCGATATTTCTCTTTAATAAGAATGAATGAACTAAAAAAAACTATCACTGGGAACGTGAAACCGAGGAGGGAGGAAAAAAAAAACCGTGTTGTGAATGGCAAGTTGATACATTTTTCAGAGTGGCGGGCAGTATGTCCTCAAGCCAGACATCGTAAGGGGCAAAAAAAAAAAAAAAAAAAAAAAAAAAAAAAAACTTGTCAACTATCATTTCACTGATGTAGAAGAGTTTAACCTGTAAGAGTCATACAGCGTCTGGGATATGAAAGGCAATTAGATGTGATCCAAGACAACGGAGTGTAACACCAATATTCTGGATCAAAGTTCTTCACAAGCAGCATCAAGGCAACCAACCCTTTGAGAAGTCAGCAGTTTATTATATTGATCCAAAGAATTGGAGCTACTGTCCCCTTCTATTTATCATACTTTCTTTCCTCGCACTTCCCAGGCGCTCAACAACAACAACAACAACAACAACAACAACAACAACAAAACAACAACAACAACAACAACAACAACAACAACAACAACAACAACAACAACAACAACAACAACAACAACAACAACAACAACAACAACAACAACAACAACAACAACAACAACAACAACAACAACAACAACAACAACAAACAACAACAACAACAACAACAACAACAACAACAACAACAACAACAACAACAACAACAACAACAACAACAACAACAACAACAACAACAACAACAACAACAACAACAACAACAACAACAACATATTTAGCGTGGATTTGATTGACTTGATTATGTCAGTAGCGTAGAGCCCTCTTTTTACAATAATGATAATAATAATAATATTGTAACGCAGCAGTCTTGGCTTATGATACATACCGGTGATTTATTCATCAGAAAACAGCAGTCTCCTGACATAGGTCTTACCACATGAAGGCCCGTTTACCCCACCTAGGTTTTCCACCACATTTTAATACAAAGGATGATGATACGTTTGTAGGACACAGATAATGATACATTTGTAGGACACAAATGATGATACTCTTGTAGGACAGATGACACTTTTGGAGGACAGGAATACTTTTGTAGGACACGGATAATGATACCTTTGTAGGACACAAAGTCGGGATGCCCAATAAAGGTGAGTATGTGAAGCGCAACCTGCCTGGGTAACTAGAGATAGGTGTGACGGGTGGTGAGGGAGGAGTGCGTGTCAGTGTAACACAAGTGTAAAGATGTGTAGCTGCTCACTGAACACAACAATAGTCTGTCATTACCTCCACACCTGACTACATACTGATTACCCTAACTTATACAATCACTGACAAACATTATACACAAGATAACTGAGCCAAAGTTACCAACACCCAAACTATCCAAGCATAAGAAAAATGTTATTACAGAAAAAATCATAATAAAAACTTGAAATGATTTCTAGGGTTAAAAAAAAAAAACAGCTACGGTGAAAAGGTGGCTGATAGGAGGAAAAGAGGATACGATAACTACATACAGTCATAACAACATTGAATATAGATTTCGTAGGCCCTTCAACAGGGAAAACAAGAGGCCGCATGTGTAAACTAAGGAAAAAATGCTGAGCTGGCAGAAAGACAGGAGATTGAGATC